GACCTGAGCTGTACTGTAGCCTGTAGCTAGCAGCTTCCTTGGAGGTTCAGTCTATGGGCAAAGACACGTCTCATGATCCTCGAGAACGTTGTTGCGGGCAACATTCAAGCGGTTTCTGTGCAAGAGCTCACTTCAACAGGGGAGGTTTCTGTCCGGGTGCTACATGCGGCCACAGAGGATTCTGGCTATGGTGGCCACTCCAGACGTCGTGGATGGACTGGGTTTTGTTTTCTTTTCATTGTTTGGAACCTTGTCGGTACTGACATTGTCTTCAGTACTCAACTCTGAGTTCCATGTTAGGGTTTGTTGTCTATTCAGCTGTGGCCAGTCCTCCATTCAGTCCTCTGTACATAGATGCTGGGAGATTCCTTTGTAAACCTCACCATACATGTAGAGTACAGTACATGCTCCAGAAAGGTAAAAAGCAGAAACACTAACATAGAACCTGCACAACTTTGCATCCAGGATCATAGCACTGCGGAAAGATGCTGGGAGGTTCCTTTGTGAACCTCAAGATCTATACAATAAGATGACGGCCGTCTGCAACACGAAGCAAGTGACTATTCCACACATTTTTTTCCTTTGAAGATCCTGAATTGCCACTTGTCCTCTGTTTGTTTTTCAATGCTTTCCTGAATCTTCAGTGCGCTGTACTGTACTGCACTGTCTGTTTGCATGCCCCCTGAATGTTGTGAAGACCAGGTTGCAGGAGGAGAAGAAGATGGTTGCAACCAAAGGAAAGCCAGTGAAAGACACTTTTCTGTCTCTTGGCCCACCTACTGAGTACTGTCCTGTGAAAACCGAAGAAACCACACTCTCATCATACTCAAACCTGCAGCCTGTGAGGAAAACCAGGAGAGAGTCACTAACATAGCAGCTAACCAACTACGGTATACTGCATTATTTTTGGTCAGATCCAAGGAGCATGCTGACAGAGGGCGACAAGAAGCGCTTGAGAGAAGCCTGGGCAATCCTGGATCAGGCGCCTTGTTGAAGGTGTCATCCATGCTACTAGTGTACTGCACACATTTTGTTCAAGCACAAGTTGGACACGGCTCTGTTGTTCCTCCACGGCAGGACGATAGCTTGAAAGATGACCGAAGCGTTCATGTCTCCGTTCCACAGCAGAATCCCTCTACGATGAAGAAAATGACTTCAAAGAAGAGGACATTTCCAAGTTGCAGTGCTACTAGTACTGTACCATAGCCTTAGCCATATTACTGTGCTGCATCTTCATGTTTGGGCATGGGCTGCGCAAGCATTCTTTGTCCTTTCAGTGCCCACTAACATAGAACCCGCGTAACACCGTGCTTGTTCACTGCAGTGGCAGGATCCTTCCTGCATACACGACGGTGGACTCACTGTTTCATCGTGAGAAAGAGCGTTGGCTCACGGGCAGGGAGAAACTCCTATCCATGGGGTTTCCGGCCTCGGCGGAGGTAGCCTCGACATATGGTGTTGTATCTTGGCCGCTGTAAGCTGGGAAATGCATGCTGTGCACTTTGTGGATTTCCTGCAGACCATGGATTACTTTTTTCTCATTCCTTTTCACCTCTGTACTTACCTTGAAGACTTGAGGACGAGATGGATGTGCTTGCTTGGAAGAAGCTTCACGAGAGATGTGGCAATTCCCAGCACTTGCCACAGGGCGAGCCTGGGCAAGAATTACTGTACTGTAACATGGAAGTGGCACTGTAATGGACTGTACTGTACTGTACCTCTTGGAAGACTGCATACGTGCCTACACCTTAAGTACTTTACTATAAGAGTCTACTGTACTTTGCCTCCAGTGCGTGTACCTTTGCCTTCCATGTAAGTGAACCGGAGTCAGTCAAGCGCAACGGAGAAGCAGGCAATTTACAGTAGATTGCTTGTAGACCCATGTCCCTCTGCTGCTTCATTCTCTATGTTTCTTTTTTTTTGGTGTGTAATCCAAGGGCATGGTGCTCTTATCTGCCTTGGCTTCCATTGAATTCTTCAATCCGGAGCTCATGCCTCACAGAATGCCAAAGGCCTTTGTTGTCATACAAGTTCCTGCGGATGGCATGTGCTTTTGGTTTTCCATGTGGCTGGCAGTTGCAGCAACACCTGATGAGTTGCATTCTTGGTCTGTGGAGTCAAAAAACAAGACAGGCATTCCATCTACTTCAGTTTACCACTTTATACAAGAGAAGGTGAAGCGCTGGGCCTTGAGCCTTGAGAGCCGGAGCGCCAAGTACCCTATGCCCGAGGAAGCACGGACACGCATTCAGAAGGAGCACAGTGCAGAGTGGGAGGATATTGAGCCTAGGCTTTTCACAATAGGTCAAGTGGGATCCACTGTACTCTTATTCCACAAACCACTACTGCACTGGACTGAAACATATACAGTACTGTAAGTAAACTGGATGGTACTGTGCTGCACCCATTTCTGTACAGGACTGTACTGCATAGAGTCACTAACATAGAACCCGAGAGCCTCATACTCTAGTGGGATACAGTGCCAATTACTGTACTGCACTATACTGTACCTGCTGCCTCAGGAATGGGCTTGCAAAGCACTTGGCGTCCAGATTTGCTTCGTGACGGGCGAGAGAGCACCACAAGCGGGTCATTTGCCAACTGTGACGGCCCCTGAGGGCATAGATTCCTCAAAGCTTCCGGTCATTTGGCTTTGGGCCCATGGTTCCTTTGATGGGGAAGGGAACAGAGCAGATCATTTTGATTATATTTGTGAGGAGGGGGTTTGCTTGGAATGTCTTTGGCTGCCGTAAGTTCTACAGTAAGATTCCAAGTTAGTGTTTGTGTGTGTGTTTTTGGTCCTGTCCTTGTGCTGGATTGTGGCTTGCAGGAGGCCTTCTGCATCTTTCCTGGAGAGACCATCCCAAAGGACAGGGCACTGAAGCTCAACGATCAGTCTAAACCAAGGATCAAAATAGAGCCTAAAACTCCCAGCCCGCACAAAGTGAGGTGGCAGGACTTTGCTTCCGACTCCACCCGGCAAGTGCTCGAAAGCCTGACAGGCTGGTCCAGGCCAGAGGAAAGCACTCATTTTCTGGTGGACATGCCTGGTGAAGAGCCACCTCTGAAGATCATGGACTCAGAGCTTTGTTTGCAAATAGTGTTGACCTGTTCTGTAGTGTAAAATCATTGTGCAGTACTGTGCGGTAGTGTAATTGTTGTACAGTGCAGTACTGTACTGTATGTGTTTCTTTTTTTTTCCGGCTTCATGTTGTAGTGTACTGTACTCTACTGTAACTATGCAGTGGATGGGGTTCTATGTTAGTGTATCCTTAAATGAGAGAACGGGTTCAGGACTTCTACGAGATGCATGTGACGGCGGATGTTACAGCATCACTTCTCGGCTTCCGCAACATGTCAAGGCATGAGGCGCAAACAATGACCACTACTCAGCTCCAAGCCAGAATCCGATGCCATAGCCTGAAGCCTCAAAGGACCAAGAAGCTGATGATCGTGCAATTTATCGTTGCAGAGTGTGAGAAGCGATTGGAGGAAGACATAGAGCGTGGACGGGACTTTGCTGGAATAACGACACCTGCATCAGCGAGTGCACCGGCAGCATCACCCAGCAAAGATGCCCCACCAGGTTGTGCTAACATGGCATCTGCACATGCAGCTTCAGCAGTACAGGAAGCAGG